TTCCCTGACTGTCAAAATGAGGTCCTGTAATTTGGGGTCTAACAAACAATCTCAATGCCCTGTGCTCCTTCCCACCACGCAAAGCAAAGTGTAATCCTGAAATTTAATACAAAACTTACATGAATACTAAATAAAATATTCCAGTGCAAGTGGCTATCTAATACAATAGATTATGATAGTTATCCTAGATTTGAAAAGCACATGTGTAAGGAGGAGATTACAGAATTGGCGATGACGTCTCATTGCAGTGCGATATTTATCAATTCGGAATTTGTTAACAGAAAAATGACAGCATAATAAACTTACCTGTCAGGTACAGAACCGTATCCAAGAGCAAACGTTGGTTGTGGTCGCCCAGAGCACCTGCCTTCCAAGGACCGTCTTCCTCATCCATAGTTATAATTTCAGTGTACTTTCTACTTGCAGCACCCATACCAGACGCTGAGCGTTCCCTCATGACCGCATCAAGAGCTTCTCTCGCTTCCTCAAAATCACTGTCTTCCATCAGATGAATCCGCGACTCACCTGTTTTTAGTGCAGATGCAAATGCCGTAAACATGCCGTATAACGTTATAGCAGGATACATCGAGCTATCTCGTTTTCTGGTCACCTTTTTCTCGCTTACCTCATTATAAGGCATTTGTTTTACAATGTGTTTTAAAATCCAATTGACGGTTTATAAGTTAGAGAAAACACTTCCCCTCGGTTTTGGTAGTGAATGTAAAACGAGGGGAAGTGTTTTCTCCTTAACGTATAGGTGTCTGTTGTTGACTCCAAAGGTTCTATTCAAATACGTAAAAGTTCATTATTGGGAAGAATATATGTGTAAATATATGTACACTTTGTTTGGATGATGTATTGTTTGACAAGTTTCCTTGTTTTGATGTTACCAGTCCGAGCAGAAATTCCTAATCATATGAAACAGCATGACGTGGAGCAACATCGGCGTACTTCTTGCTTAAATGAACCTTTCAGATGGATGGTACCTACATTTATGGGAAAGTCCAGCATTTCATGAACTGTTTTCTAACTACATTTCGAAAAAAATGACTTTCGTACTTTATAAATTGTCCCGAAGGTTTGAGGTTAAAGATATAGAAATACCTATGATTACCACGTTTAGTTGCAAATGCCCTCCTTTTTGTAGGTTTGTCTTGTGGGATGGTGGAAACATCAGTGGTTCTGACAAAGCTGAACTTTGCTCTTTTTCAGATTACAGAATTGAAGCAAATCCTTTGAAGGTTTAAATCCTAAAGGCCCTTTATTCCAGTCGTAACAAATATAAAGAACGTCCTCTTTGATTAATCTAAGGATTACTGTTAACTTTTCGACTGGGATATGATGGTTCGCGTGATGGACCGTGTCGATTGCTTGGAGATTGTGAATAATGATGATAATTATCAATGATTATGTTTTGAATTACTACTCAGTACATTAAAAGAAACAATAGTATGCTAGGTTTACTTAAAAAAACAACCAATACAGACACAATATTTTACTTTGAATAAACTTGTGATCTATAAATCTGACGCATAACTGATTCAAAAGGAAATAACACATAATAGACAAACCTAAAATGACAAATGAAAGGAAACTATCAACAATATGACATGATCAATGTATTCAACTCAAGAAGTTGAAGCGCATTTGCTACTACGTAAGAACACCAACCAAATAATTCGTCGACAGGAGATATAACCTATTGCGATCACAATAAATGCAAATTAATTGGATAGAGCTGGAGTAAATGTGTTCTAACACGGTCGTTGACGTCTATGTTATTGCCGTCTACGTTGCCCTTTGCATAAAACATAACGAATGCCAGAAACTCATACATGTACGTCCAGAATTTTTTTATAAACTCCTCTTTACGATAGAGACTCCCAGTGGGGAATTGATCTTCTCAGCACTACATTATTTGAAATGCAAGCGATTACATGAAGGAACACGCTTAACGCTGCTGAGGACAACCTGAAACATTTGTTGGCTGAATATGGTGTTCCATGATTTCCAATTCACCCCATATTTCCAGCTGACCCCTCAAAGTGTATGCCATCGTTGCATCATTGCGGGACAGATTACTAAGCGCTACCTGAGGGATGTACCTTCGGCATGTTTCCTTGATTTGACTGCAGATGGGCTGTAATCCAACTTTCTAATCTAAACTCCAGCACCGCTTACAGCTTGATATTACCGAGGAGATGGAAAGCTTCATTTGACTTTTGCTCAGTAGAGTATTTTCAAGCTTACAACATTCAAGCCTTCAATATAGCTTTCCAAAAAGTTCTATTGAAAACATGGGGTATACACTTCCAAAATTGTCTCATCACTAACAAAAGAAATGTCCGATGCCATTCACTATTTTGACGTGAAACATACGTTCTCGTTTATGTTTTCAAGAATTATCTTACCCTTGCATTTGTTAATTGCGGGTGCCACCGGTTGGGTCGGACGCGTTCGCTTTTACGTTAGATTAATAAATAATATTACAATAGAATTGACGATTCCAGTAGATATTAAGTTAAAAAAACAAATATTTGACTAATTTATCATATCTACATCTTCAAGAACCGCAACACCGAGAAAACCTCGAATAAAGAATAGCAAGATAAGTATTTGCTGTCTTCTTAATGATCGAAAATCAAATAAACTGAAGAAGAAGATGTTTCTGTCGACATATCCTCCTGAGCCTACAGGTGCAGTGAGATAGCTGGATTATTCTATGCCACTATAGAACGGCAGTGGATTTCAATAAAACGCTTGTATCCATTCACTGATGATTTCTGAAGTGGAGACCCAGGAAGAGGGAACAATCTTCTTATGTGATATTCATAGTGAAGAAGAGTTATTTTCCAATCGAAGTAGAAGGACGGCTGACTTGATCCGCCGTGTAATTAACTGAAGGATGTTGTGACCATTACCGTACAAATACTTGGATTTGTTACAAATAATGTTTTTTATGACATGATTGCCCAATTTTATTCAAATTCCGTTCACAATTAATCATTCTACTGGACTGTTAGGAGTAATTAGCAAGAAACATTTCAGTTTGTTAGACCGTTGTTCAAAGATCACATCAAAGCATGAAGCCTTATTCATTAATGATAAAAACTAATGAATTGAATCCTTTTCAAACTTCAAACATCTGCAATCTAATGCACTGGCAATTCCGTTTTCTTTCCTGACCTCTCCGAGCATAACAAGTGTTCACATCTTGTTTATTTGTGTCATGTGTACATGCAGTCCATTAATTGGCATATTTAAAACAATCGTAACAAAGCTGTATGCATCTGACTATTTGATTTCGTATATCTGTTACAAGACAATACACATCTGATAAAGACAATCTACCGGTACAAGACCAAACGGTATACACGTGAATGCAACACGTGGAAGAAACGCCACTTTGTATGCGTATTTTGTATCTCTCTTTTATTTCGTATTTGCAATTATGTCTTTTCAATATTACGTTTGGTTACCTTAAACAGAAAAGTGTATTGGTAATATTTGAGAAATTGGGATACTTAATAGTAAAGAACAGTCCTGTCACATAATGCAGCTCTTTGTTAAATTCATTTTACCCATTATGACACTGATAATAATCATTTTCATGTAGCCTGCGCACTCGAGTGATATTTTCAGTTCCGGTTAGCCGTCGCCTTATCACTTGATCCCACGGGAATGATAATGTGAGTGAGTGAGTCTGTTTTTACGTGGCCTTTATCAATATCATGGCGGGGGACACCAGTACCCTGCACATCACTTGCTTGAAAACGGTCTTACCATTCAATCGGAAACGCCGCTCTTCACTGTAAAAAAACAAGATGTTCATACACATATCTGACCCTTAGTACTCCAACTTGCATATGCCTCTAAAAGAAGTAGCTATAGGGACGGCGGGGTAGCTTAGTGGTTAAAGCGTTCGCTCGTCACGCCGAAGGCCCGGGGTCGATTCCCCACATGGGTTACAAATTGTACGTGGAGTCCATTTCTGGAATGTTGTTAAAGCGGCGTAAAACCATACTCACTCACTAAAAGAAGTAAAACCATACCCTCGTCACACATTGTCTTTTAAAAGCCACCATGTCCAGCACTTCCGATTAAACTTGTAATCCCGTCGAGCTAACAAGAAGAAAACAGCACTTTAAATGTTTCCGGAAATATTTTCCACTGTAATGTAATAATGACCACATATGCTTTTTCAAAGTGTGGCAAGACGGTGCAAAATGGGCGGGCGTACATAGATTGATACAAGTGGTCCTTTATAAGTACTTCAGATGTCGGAAATAGAATGCATGTTTAGGAATTAAGACGAAAACGTCATGTCATCATTGGCGACAAAGGGTTCCTCTTATCGACCAGAGAGTGTCTGCATGATAGTTTATATGTATTTAAATGCAAATTTGTCAGTCAACAGTTTTCGATATTTTGAATAATACCAATTATAGACCAGAAGGTCTCCGTTTAGAATATGATTAGTCAGAACGAACGCAATTATAAGTCGATCCAAAAGAGTTAAAACTCCTTTAAAACACCGTCAAAATTCATGGAAATCTTTTACGCATACGAACTAGGGGCAATTGGTGGTAAAACGGTGGTATAATCGATTTCAATAACAAGAGATACGCTGGACATCTCTCTGAAGATTTGCAATCTAACGGCCTTTTTTCGCTAGAGTCCACCACAGTCAAAGAAAATTATAGTGACAGATGATTTTTAAGAGATATTCCCGATATCCGACAACTTAATGTTATTGGGGTTAAATAAGGTGTGTGAGTGAGTTTAGTTTTGCGCCGCTTTTAGCAATATTCCAGCAATATCACAGCGGAGGACACCAGAAATGGGCTGCACACATTGTACCCATGTGGGGTGTAAAACTCGGGTCTTTGGCGCGACGCTTCAATCAATAGGCTACCCCACTACCCCTATTGGGGTTAGGGGGACAGTTGGAAAGGAGCTAAACAACAAAGATAGGAGCATAAATATGGTTATCGGTTAAATTACCGAGTGTATAACGACATGAAACAGAAGTTACACCATACTGAATCGTTGGTCTTCCTTCCTGATGTATGCATCATTGGTCTCCTTTCACGGTGTGTGCGTCGTTGGTCTCCTTTCTTGGTGTGTGCGTCGTTGGTCTCCTTTCCTGGTGTGTGAGTCGTTGGTCTCCTTTCCTGGTGTGGTGCGTCGTTGGTCGTCTCCTTTCCTGGTGTGTGCGTCGTTGGTCTCCTTTCCTGGTGTGTGAGTCGTTGGTCTCCTTTCTTGGTGTGTGCGTCGTTGGTCTTCATTCCTGGTGTGTGCGTCGTTGGTCTCCTTTCCTGGTGTGTGCGTCGTTGGTCTCCTTTCTTGGTGTGTGCGTCGTTGGTCTCCTTTCCTGGTGTGTGAGTCGTTGGTCTCCTTTCTTGGTGTGTGCGTCGTTGGTCTTCTTCCTGGTGTGTGTCGTCGTTGGTCTCCTTTCTGTGGTGTGTGTTGAGTCGTTGGTCTCTTTCTTGGTGTGTGCGTCGTTGGTCTTCATTCCTGGTGTGTGCGTCGTTGGTCTCCTTTCTTGGTGTGTGAGTCGTTGGTCTCCTTTCTTGGTGTGTGAGTCGTTGTTCTCCTTTCTTGGTGTGTGCGTCGTTGGTCTTCTTTTGGTGTGTGCGTCGTTGGTGTTCTTTCTTGGTGTGTGCGTCGTTGGTCTCCTTTCCTGGTGTGTGCCTCATTGGTCTCCTTCCCTCGTGTGTGCGTCGTTGGTCTCCTTCCTCGTGTGTACGTCGTTGGTCTCCTTCCCTCGTGTGTACGTCGTTGGTCTCCTTCCCTCGTGTGTGCGTCGTTGGTCTCCTTTCTTGGTGTGTGCGTCGTTGGTCTCCTTTCCTGGTGTGTGCATCGTTGGTCTCCTTTCCTGGTGTGTGCGTCGTTGGTCTCCTTTCTTGGTGTGTTCGTCGTTGGTCTTCTTTCTTGGTGTGTTCGTCGTTGGTCTTCTTTCCTGGTTTGTGCGTCGTTGGTCTCCTTTCTTGGTGTGTGAGTCGTTGGTCTCCTTTCTTGGTGGGTGAGTCGTTGGTGTTCTTTTTTGGTGTGTGCGTCGTTGGTCTTCTTTCCTGGTTTGTGCGTCGTTGGTCTCCTTTCTTGGTGTGTGAGTCGTTGGTCTCCTTTCTTGGTGTGTGAGTCGTTGGTGTTCTTTTACATACATACATACTAACATTTGTATAGCGCCGATATCCAGCTCAGCTCAGCTGCTCAAAGGCGCTTTGTTTTCCCCTCGTTCACTTGATGTCAATCTCAACGGCACATCGTATTGTCAATCTCAACTCCCTTGGGAGCATACAACTCTTGCAGCCACTAGGCGCACCGAGTTAATGGGGCATTCCCATCCGTACGAGGTACCCATTCACAGCTGGGTGGACTGGGACACATAGTCACAGTACTTTGTCCAAGTTTACTGCACGTTGCTGTACCCGCAACTGGGTGTTTGCACGTATTCATGTGGCCACCATCTGGTCATATACCAACGGATTCGTGGGTTCTTTTAAGTGCACAGGGTTGTGTACTGTACACTAGGGGTTGTGACAACACTGAAAGAGTCTGCACACAAAGTTGACTCCAAGGTTTTTACACCCGGTCACAGGTGGGCTCGATCCCGTCACCTCACGCTCGCTGGATCACTAGCCTGGCGCTTTAGCCAGTTCGCCCACCGCGCCCCTTTTTTGGTGTGTGCGTCGTTGGTCTCCTTCCCTCGTGTATGCGTCGTTGGTCTCCTTCCCTCGTGTGTACGTCGTTGGTCTCATTTCATGGCGTGATTGTGGTTGGTCTCCTTTCATGTTGTGTGCGTCGTCGTAATACGTGGAAATAAAATATTAACAATACTTGAACATTGAACACGTGGAGTCTGATGAAGATATATATTACTTGGTGCTGTGATAACAAGTTTTATTCCCTGGATCTGTAAAGGGGTTTAATGATTTGAACCTTCTATTCTATTTCCATGAACACAGTTTTGCCGGGAGCGTATCGACTAATACGGAAACAGCGACGCAACACGCAAAGGCAGTTGTACGGTGTAGCTATATATCTTGAAAAAATGTTGACGCTGCACTAATCACAAAGTAAAACAGATGTTGGTTGCGTGTTCCGTCGAATGGGATATACAATGTACTTGGTTTTTACAAACACTCACATGAACGTAAGTTTATAAGTGGACGTCTATTTAAACTGAAAGATTTTAACCCAAAAACTATTTAACCATGTCAGGTAAGTACAGGTGTGTGTTTTTATTGTGTGGATTTATCTATGGCCTTCACAACAACCATCAAACGGCCGCCTCCATGTTTGGACAGTGTCCGACCGGAGAGTGGACGGCTGGCATACCCAGACAGGTTAAAAGCTGGTACTTGTTGTTACACTACGTAAGATTTTAAGTTGATATCTATTTAAACTGAACAAAATGTATCCCGAAGACTATTTAACCATGTCAGGAAAGTACAGGTGTGTGTTTATATTTCATATATTTTATATGAATTGTGTGGCGATTCAGATGTATCTATGAACATCAAACGGCCGCCTCCATGTTTGGACAGTGTCCGCATCCATGTTTGGACAGTGTCTGACCGGAGAGTGGACGGCTGGCATACCCAGACAGGTTTAAAGGTGGTACTTGTTCTTGCCCAGCCTGGCGCCCAGCAATAACGGCATAGAAGAAGGACTGGTCGGCACAGGGTCTTTATTGTATGTGTGAGTTTGGTCTCTATGTTAAAATGCGGACAAGAAACCAAAGGCATGTGGACACACGTCGCTATACAAATGCAATAATCATAACTTTAAATCAGTGACTTCAAATCTCAGTTTCACAAATTTGATCCTGCTCAGAAATATACGTGTAACCCGACGTCCATAGAAGGTAGAGTTCATTTGGTCTTGTATAGTATTCAAACCAAACATATGCTACTAAAAAGCTGATGATATTCAATAAAAGGTGGCACAACTGTGGATATTCTGTATCTTTAAGGTGATACGTAATTAAGAGTTTAACAGTCGTTGCATTAATCATTGAACGTCATTTAGCCCTTGATTTTGTTAGATTTTACACCAAAACGTCCTACTGCCCATCACGTCATTTACCACAAAACGACAAATGACTTGTGCATCCTCCACTATTCTCAAGATGGGATACAGACCCGTATACAGAATATTGTACCGAAATCCTGCATGTCAACGGTACAAAAATTGTATCGAAACGTTGTTATCCATAAAGTTAGTCAGTATTCTACTTTCTAACTTCTAAAATGCCACTCAAAGAAGTAATCCCATATGATGTGCATGCATGGTAAGGGTCGATGCTAATACTCGTAATACCTTCCTTCATACGTTTCTATACAGATGATTGTAACAAGGAAAATAGTATACTTCTTTAGTAGTCTGAAACATAACAGATCTCGGTTAGGGATAGTTAGAGTGCAAGATTAACGTCATTGACAATTTGAGGTAATTACTAACAAAAGTAGCATGGCATTCAAAGTAGAATGCGTCCCAATACACACATACCCCTTCTTCAAACTATTAATTATTTGCATTCTGTATAAACAAAACATTGCTCTGGGGAATAAAAGCTACTAAAAGTAGTGTAAATCGGTTAATTTCCGACTATCATGGAATGAAATGTGTTGCACTCCGATATATGCATCCCATGTTGTGCCAGAGAAATACATTTTGCAGTTCCTGATATTGCACATTACGTTCTGTCTAATGCAATATTCTGTAATATTAAATCAGTACAAACACACATAACGCTTCTTAAATTGAACGCCCCATTTAATCATTAACCATGCACCAGTATGCACCAGACAATATGCACCAGTTTATGAATAATATCTAATAACTTTTGCACTAGCCTTCCCGTAATAAGCGTTGCCACTGACACGCGTGACCCTCTCTCTCCCAGGCATTTACAGTTAAACCGTGGATGTCACAAGTCGAATCACACACACACACACACACACACACACACACACACACACACACACACACACACACACACACACACACACACACACACACACACACACACACACACGCGCACGCACACACACACACACACACACACACACACACACAAATACATTCTCAGTTTTGAATTCCGAGAGAAATTGCTTGTCCTGTAATATCAATAACAATGCATCTAAATGTTTTTGACACATTCCTAAAATAAACGTTCAGAGCAGTTTTTAGTGTATGATTTGAAATAAGTATGGCAAATAACGCGATGTTGAAGAATAGCATACTAGTGATCACCGTTATCTTTCTTTAGTTATCAAATCAACAATGACCGTTCAGAAAAGAATCGTTTAGAAGGCTTTTGGAAATAAAACCGAACGTGTTCCGGGAATAAGACGCCTCTTTCACCACCTAAATTTCAAACTGAACAACAGTTTTTGGATAATTTCAGAAGGCTGTGTAGCATTGTCATTTCGAATTATGGAAACGCAATGATGCCAACTCATGCATATCGTTTGCATTGTGAAAATAGTATGACTTAAATAGACTATAAGGTGAATTATTAGAGTACGTTTCACTTCAGTGATCCAATGATTGTTTCAAGTGATGTTGTAAAATGAGCAGTAAAGGGTTCCCAGGCAGTACATGTGTATACAAACGTGTGATGTATATGCCATCCTTGGACAAAAAACTACCCAAACCTGTGATAATGTCAGTCTCGTGTAGTCACCCACATGTGCTTGTGCACAAGTCGCTGTATCTGTATAAGAGGCTGCCTGTTCCATTTTTGATGACCCGCGTGTTCAAATCGACAAGATTCCGTACCGAGGGAACCCTTTGACGTGCTCGGCGTCCTGAAATGTCCTGAAACTTGGTCGATAGGACTGAGGTCTGGATACAGTATTGAGATGGTGGAGTTTCAATCAGTTACTGGCGTACGAAATCCATCACTGAAAGACCGTGGAGCCTAATGTTGTCATCTTTGAAAACCGACTTGTGAGAAATGGATAGTTGTAAAAATGTGGCACTACCACCTTTTCCAAGATCCCTCTCTGATAGCTTTGGCCATTAAAATTTCTCTTACGGCGACAAACTGAAGCTTACAGTCATGTGACAGACAACCCCACTTCATAACAGATCCGCTACCAAATGAAATAAACTCAACATTTGCCGTGTTGCTACAACGAGATCATTCTCTGTCAGACCATACAGAATGAAACTAATTTCGTCAGACTAAGGAATTCTTGTCCAGGATACATTGTTCCGGTTACCACGTTCTATACACCAAGCGAAATGAACAGTTTAATATCCATGTGTTAACAGGGGTAGTCTCAGTGCTTTCTTATACGATATCTTGCTGATTTCCAGCAATTTTTGCTCTCCCAGTGGGACTCTTGACACTGGGTAAGCAATCCATTTTCAAACACTCCCCTGTAGCAAAAGGATTACGACGGACAAGTCTCATTAGAGATGTATTTTTTATGTCCTCCAAAATCAACTGTTTGTTGTTTTCGACGTGCACTGATTGTGGAGAGATGGTGGTCAGATTCAATCTGTTTCAAAGACATTCCAGCATTTCTCATGACAATTAACAGCCATATTCTAGAAGTAAATATGCCCATACTATCAGTTGTTTTCACCTCAATGTCTTAGTATGATGACACGTTACAATTACGATTTTTTCAAACTTGATTTTAAGAATAACAATTAAGAGCACGTATTAAACGATGTACAGGTACAGCACTGTCATCGATTGTGGGCATGCATGGTTACCCATACCCACCAACAGTATCATTTCTATATTCAGTGCGTCATAAAAATGTTTATTTAATTTGACAAAATTAAATTCAAACTATCAGTTCAAAACCATTGAATTTCGGCAACCTAATACGTCCTGAGTCAACTTTACACGATTTATCATGATGCCTTTGCGAAACACGAGCATGTCTCGAACCATTTAAGAAAGATATAACTGTGCTATTCAAAACATTTATGAATGTTAAGAAGAATTCTTTGATTATTTCATGCATTTAAACTTGATGACAAACACATTCCGTCCGGTTTATTCAATATTCTCATTTATGATTTGTTCAAAGAAGTGGAATTGTTACCACGTGAATTATCAGAATCTCAAAGAACTGGCTTAAATTGTTACGGTGTCACAACAAAAACACAGACAGTAGTTTTAAAAAACGAATTAATTAAG